TGGTCAAATCCAATAAAACAAGATGTAAATAACAAATTAAATCAGGAAACTGGAGCAGCACCCGAAGAAATGTTTAAAGTGAAATTAGATTGTCGTTCGGATAATAAAACACTCTGTAATAATATAAATTTAGCTTTTAATAGAGCTTCAAAAACAATTTCTACCGTCCTAAAACTAAACACTCAAATAGTTGTAAATGCGACTTTATATAATTTTTGTGAAGGGTTAACTCCTGAAACTTGTGGTCCAGAATTAAGTAATAGATTAGGCCAAGCAGGACCTACAATGCTTTATGCGTTGGAAGATGACGACGGGATGGAAAGATTATATCCGCAAGCATTAGTTAAACAATTTCAATTTCCGAAAAATCCAACATTTAATGAATTTGACATTAATGCTGAATTCAATACAAAATTTCCACTTTGGTTTGAAGAGGATGGACCTATTGAAGCATCAGAAACCGATTTTTTTTACGTTATGATTCACGAACTTATGCATGGATTAGGATTTCTTTCATTATGGACTAAGATATCTGATAAACTAGAATTAATTCCAATGTTTGTACCTAAATTCAGTGGAACGAATGGCGCTCAAATTAATGATACAACCCTTATCAAAGATGTGACAGTAAAAGAAAGTGCATTAGATAAATCTATGATATTTTTATCAAATGGTTCCCCAGTATCCAGTATTACAAAACACATAAGCGATTATATGATTAAAAACCCAGGGGAAACGGATCTTTTTGAAAAGTTTGGACAATCAGAAATTAAAATGTTGACAGATATGTACATTCTTGCGACAACTCCAAAATCGCTTGGCTTATTACCAAGAGGTTCCACAAACTTTGTTTCTGATGCCATTATTTTGGAAACTGCTATTAACCCATTTATTCAAGGATCTTCCATATCACATTTTGATCTTGCAACTTATCAAAATACAAGTGATTTCTTAATGATGTTTCAAGCGGTAGATGGAAAAACCATCGAGGAATTAATTAAGGATGGAGGGAATTATCCTGGTGGCGTTATTGGTCCAAAACTTAAGTTAATGTTGGAAACTATAGGGTATGTAAGATTCATTTTGATCAGAAGTTTTAAAAATTTTTTAAATTTTAAATAAATTTCTTTCATTTAATAGGTATGCTACAGAAGACAATCCGAATCCATACAAGCCAAAGCCATTCAAAGAAGAAAAAGCAACATCTTCCGCTATAAATCGAAGATTTTCTTTCGATTTCACATCAAATATTTATATATTAATATTTACCTTATTATATCTTTTAATTAATTGATCAAAAATTTCTAAATTAAATGATTGGTTACACAAATGCTCTTGACGGCACAATATTAGCTACATTATTATTTATTAGTCAAATTATAATAAATTTTTTAAAGGTTAACGTTAATAAATGAACTTTTCTCATCAATAATTTCTCCAATGTCAGATCATGTGACTCACCCGAAGGATTCGTTACTGCGGTAAATCCAACCAATCAAAAATTCATTGTTTAAAATTGTAAACTAATAGCAAGCTATTTATATTTAACAACCAAATATAGTAAGGTCAAGACGCAGTATAATAAATATTTGCGGATTTTAATTTTTTTAAAAAAATTTTTTTATTTATTGTAATTATATCATTTGATTAAACTAGCAATTCTACCCGGGCGATGCCCCGGGGTCACTAAATTTCAAATAAATTTTATAAATAATTAACCCTAACCTTATTTATTTTTTTAATTTTTTATTTAAATTACCCGAAATTTTTTTTTTTAATTTTTTTATTTTTATAATCGTAGGAGGAATTTTTTTTTTTTTAAAAAAAAAAATATGATTGATCCAATCAAATAGGAATTACTCATTTCTGCGCCACTCAACCCTTACTTCTCGAACGCCACAATATGCGTTCTTTTTTTTTTTCTAAACAATTCAAAAAAAAAAAGAGATTATCTTTTTTTGCACGAACCATTGCCTTTTCTAACATACTTTCTATTCCAATATTCGATCCATATGATCTTGCAGAATCTAATTTAATTAATTAAACGTAATTATATTTGTGAGACAAACAAGAATTTTGACATAAACTTATAAAGTAATTTATATATATAAAACCAATTCCTTATATGATCTTTGTCATTGAAAGGGGTAAAAATTTGAGCTATAATAAGTTTTGAAATTTTGCACAAAAAGAGAATTATTGTCAATTTTAATACCCGAAATTCCGACCTCCTAACTCCGATATCAAATGAGCTTCGTGCATTTAAGTGCACAAATGATGCATTCATTCAAATCATTGACTTCCCTAAATAAATCATAACCTTGACCGTTGTAAATGAGAATTCAAAGATAACAAATTTATATAAAACAGATGTAATTTATTGCTTTTCGAAATAAATTTTTACTAAAAAAAAAAATTCTTTTACCATGATGAAATCATTAATATTCATTATCTTGTTTCTGTATAGTTTCGTTCCTAATGTTTTGTCATCGCAATGTTATAAAGTTAATAATTTTAACTATAACTCGGCTCAAATTGTTGACTGTGATTGGTCAAATCCAATAAAACAAGATGTAACTAACAAATTAAATCAGGAAACTGGAGCAGCACCCGAAGAAATGTTTAAAGTGAAATTAGATTGTCGTTCGGATAATA